CAGGGCAGCACGCTGGTGCGCGTGCAGCTGGACGGGGTGCAGGCCGCCCGCCTCGGCCTGAAGGGCGCCTCCCTGAAGGCCGTCACAGCCCGCGGGGCGCAACTCAGCGATGCCGAGGCGCCTGGCGTGAAGTTCGAGGACGTGGACTTCAGCGAGGCGGTGCTCACTAACGCCCGCCTGCCCGACGCCGACTGGTGCAGCGCGCGGCTCGGGGGCGCGGTGCTGAAGCATTGCGACCTGGCGAGGCTTCGAGGCACCGCCGTGTTCCTCGAGGGGGCGCAGATGCAGCAGGCCACTCTGGCCGACGCGGCGCTGAGCGAGCTGTCGCTGCGGAGGGCCGACCTCGCAGGTGCGGACCTATCGAGGGCGCGGCTGGACGGTGCCGTGCTCGACGAGGCAAAGCTTCAGCACGCCAAGCTGGAGAGTGCCTCGCTGGCTGGTGCATCGTTCGTGCGATCCGACCTGAAGGGGGCGGTGCTGGTGAAGGCGACTTTGGGCAGCGCGGACCTGAGCGAAGCGTCGCTCGAGGGCGCCGATGCGACGGGCGCCCAGCTCTCCGGGGCCCGGCTGCACAAGGCACTGCTCACGACGGCCATCCTCTGCGACTCCGTGTGCGACGGCGCCGACTTCTCCGAGGCCACCTGCGGCAGCGCCGACCTGACGCGCGCGAGCCTGGAGGGCTGCAACCTGCGCTCCTGCCGGCTGAACGCGGCGAGGCTGCACGAGGCGCGGATGACCGGCGCGGACCTCAGGGGCAACGTTATTGGGGGGGGCGGGATCGGCGCAGGGGGCCTCTTGGGGCCTCTGGGGGTCTCTTGGGGGCCTCTTGGAGGCATCTTTGGGGCGTCCTTTGGAGCCTCTTGGGGCCTCCTGTGCACCTCTTAGGGCCGTCTTGGGGCACCCTTGGGTGCCTCGGGGGGAGGCATCGTCCCCCGATCGCCCGCTCGTCGCCGACGGGGGCCCGACAGCGCCCACCCCGCCCAGGACCGTGCTAGGGTTCGCTAACTATCGGGGGGGCCCGTCGCCTCTCCCTCGGCGGAGGTGTCGCCGATGCCAGGGCGAGGTTTCCCCCCCTTGAGGTCGTCCCCCTCGAGGTCGTCCCCTCGGGTTGTCCTCCTCGTCGTCCTCCTCCTCCTCCTCCTCCTCCTCCTCCTCCTCCTCCTCCTACTCCTCCTCCTCCTCCTCCTCCTCCCCTTCCATCATCCTCCTCCTCCTCCTCCTCCTCCTCCTCCTTTTCCTCCTCCTCCTCCCCCTCCTGATTCGGGTCGTGATTCGGGCCTCCGATGGCCGTTCGGGGCGATGCGGGCGGGCCCCCCCCCGAGTGCCCGTGGCGATGCGCAGCCGCTGAAGGGTATCCCGAGGCCAGGAAGCCGCCGAGAACCCACGAAGATGTCCGAAGACCTCGAACCTCGGAACTTCGCCCCCCCCCCACCCAGACCCCAGACGTCATGATTTTTGTTTCAGAACGTCGATCCCTGGCGGCCTCGAAACATTCCCCGGGACCAGTTTCTCCTCCCAGGTCATTGATTGACGGTCTTGGGGCCCGTTGAGGGCTCTCCCTTCCTCTTCCTCTTCCTCCTCTTCCTCCTCCTCCCCCCTCCTCTTCCTGTTTTTTTTGGCGCCCCCACCGATGCTTCACTGTTTCACGGAATTATCTGTCTGATGCGTTCCAGCCTCTCCGCGCGCTTCGCGCACCATGGAGCCGCCCCGCTGGACGGCTGTTTGGCCGCCGCTCCCAGACCCCCGACGTCGTGCTTTTTCCGCAACGTCGACCCCCAAGACCAGTAGAGGCCTCTGGTCGTCAGACTGCCCAGGCTGATCCACTCACGGATCCAACGCTCCATCGTCTACTCAATTCGTTCCATGCGTAGCATGCTCCCCCTTCCCCCTGGCATCGCTCGGACGTGTGCATTTTTTTTCGGCGAGAACCATTGAGGACGATCCTGGACCATCGAGGAAAAAAACACACGCACGAACGAAACCGAAAAATGCACGGGAAATGGACGTCCGAGCGATGGCGGGGTCCTTAGGACCAGCTTCTCGCCCCGAGTCGAATCTTGATGGCCCTGGGGCCTGGCGAGGGCCCCCCCCCCGGCCGCAGCGGGCGAGACACCTCCCGCCGTGATTTTTTCTTCACACCGCGCGGGGGCCCGGGCTCGCTCCCCCTCCCTTTGGAGGCACGCCCTAGGAGGTCGATTTCTGGTTTTGTCCTGGTCCGACACCTTCGGGGTTGGACAGACCTCCTACCCTGACACGTCGATGAAGGAATTGGCCGTTTTCGGTTCGCGAGAGGGCGTCGCGGCCGTCATTTTTGCGGGTCCAGGTCCGTTGGTTTCGGTCCCAGGCCGTTTTCACTAAGGGGAGGTCTAGTAAAGGGAGGTTTGTCCACCGCCGACACCTGGTTTCCTCCAGCTCAATCCCTCCAGATCCAGCTTCATCCCGCTCCGTCTGGCCTCATCCCGCTGGATCTGCGGCCTACTCCGGCGTAGAGCAGCCCCCTCAATGGGGCTTCATTCCTTGTCATCCTTCCGACGGAGACCTCCCAGGAGTTGCCTCCTGACCCCCTGCCCAGACCCCGACGTCGTGACTTTTTCGCAGCGTCGACCCCCAGAGGTCTGGACCCCTTCTGTTGGATCGGCTTTTCATCCCGAGCCGTTTTTGGACGCTCCGGGGGCCCGGCGTGGGCCCCCAGATGCCGAAAGTTGGCGAGAAGCCTCCCGCTGCTGGGATGTTTTTTCTCCGCGAGGGGGTCCAGGCTCGCTCCCCCCCCCCTTCGGATGCAACTCCTGGGAGGTCGAATTCTGACTTTGCCCCGGTCCGAAACCTGGCTTCATCCAGAGACATCCCGCCCATTCTGGCTTCATCCCGTTTAGTTCGTTCGCGGCCTCATCCGGCGTACGTGTAGCAGCCTCCCAATGTGCCTTAATTCTGTCTTCTCAGACCCCCGACGTCTTTCTTCTTTCACAACGTCGACCCCCAGAGGTCTCGACCCCTTCCCCGGGACCTGTGCCTCAACCCGGGTCGTTTTTTGACGGCCCGCCGAAAAGGGCGGAAAACCTGCCGTCGTGACTTTTTCGCAGCGCGAGGGGGTCTGGGAATGGGGTGTAGTTCTCCCTCATCCTTCCGACGGAAACCTCCCAGTAGTTGCGTCCTAATCAGCGAGCGAAGAACGGTATAAGATAAACTTTTTCGCTGTCGGGGGCGCCTGTCCCTGGGCGGCTGGAAAGTTTATACCCCTACGGTGCCACCGTAAGGGTATAAACTTTCCAGCCGCCCTGGGGCAGGCGCCCCCGACAGCGAAAAAGTCTATTTTATTTCGTTCTTCGCCCGTTGACCTCACCCCGTGGGGCGGTGCCCCTCAGGACCTGCGGGGCGCCGAGCTCGCCGGGGCCGTGGCGGCTGGCGCGTGCCTGCGCGCGGCGAGGCTCGCGGGGGCCCGGCTCGCCGGGGCGGAGCTCTGCGGGGCGGACCTCCGAGAGGCTCGGGGGCATTTTCCAAAACAATTATTTATTTATTTATTTATTTATTTATTTGTTTATTTATTCTTATATATATATATATATATATATATATATCAGTCCCAGGTTTTTTCAGGTGTCGGCCTCCAGGGGCTCTCGCTGGGCCCCACCAGCCGTCCACAAAGCGACGCAGGACGAAGAACCGGTCCCGAGGAAGGGGCCGAGGCTTGTGGGGGCAAGGGTCCCAGGCCCCCTCGTGCTGTGTGAGAAACTCACGACGTGAATCAGGAGGGGAAAAAACACACAGACACAATTAATCGTCGATCCCCAGGAAAATATGGGAAAATATGGGAAGTGGGGGGGAAGACGAAAACCCAGAAACTATGCGAAAATATGGTGAATATTTTTATTTGTGTGTATTTATTTGTGTGTCCTGGGGCCCCTTCAGTGAAGCTCTTCGCCATTTTCGGCTTCGGGGGCCTTCGCCGGGCCCGAGGACTGTCGAAAAAACGACTCGGGGTGAGAGACCGGTCCCGGGGAAGGGGTCGAGACCTCTTGGGGATCGACGCTGTGAAAGAATCACGGCGTCGGGGGACTGGGGTAGGAGGGTGTTTTTGTTGCCCTCTGGGCCGTGACGCGCGTTATGCCCTTCCCCCTTCCCCCCCTATACCGTAACTCCCCCCCCCCTCAGTGCGTCCCCGGCACTGCCGCAGTGAGTCTGGCACCACAGTGGGAGGGGCGCTACCTTATGCCCCCTCCCGTCCCCCTCCCCTCACCCCTCAGCATGCTCGTTATGGCCTCGAAAACAACTTGGTCTCTATGGGGTAGCAAATCATGGGAGCCTGGTATACCCTCTTAATTCCGTTTTCAGCGTCGATTGGCGTCGATTAGTGTCTGAGAGTCCATATGATAGCTCCGATTTAGCGTCGATAGAGCGTCGATTAGCGTGGATAGAGCGTCGATTAGCGTCGATTGAGCGTCGATTGAGCGTCGGTTAGCGTCGATTGAGCATCGGTTAGCGTCGATTCGCAATAGCTGTCAAGATGGTATGGGAGCCTCCCATGAGTTGCCACCGAAGGGGGGGTATTGAGGGGGAGATACAGTCAGACCGAAGTATAAGACCGAGGTGGGTTCGGGGAGGGTGCCCTAATGTTCTTCGTGTTCGTTGGATGTTCTTGTGCATCCTGGGAAGGGCACCCTAAGATGCTCCTGTGTGTTTTGGCTGGACACCCTTAGAAACTGGCGTTGCATTTTTTTCACAACGGGCGTTTTCGCCTGGTTTCGGGCCCTTGGATCCTCGCAGATCGATGCGGATCGAAAAATGCACCAGGAAGCTGGGCTCCGTGGATTTGGCCGTGAATTTCTGCGAGGTTCTGTTTTTTTTGCAGCGCCGGATCTCAGGGCAGTCTGGGCTCGACCCAAGCGGTGTTTCCTTCCGTTTTCGTTTTTTGTTTTCGTTTTCCGTCGTCCTGTCCTCGTTGCGCCTTTTTCTGCTGTAGAGCGAGATCGGAGCGGAAAGGGTCCACGAGCTCGCCAAGACACCGTTCAGGTCGAGCCCTGGGCACGGGGGGGGATGCGACGGCCTCGAACGGTTGATACGTCGACGATGCACGGACGGCGCATCGTCGATGTCAGGGCGAGGCATCGACGATGTACGGTCGAGCATCTGACTGATAAGCCGCCTCCCGAAAAGCCGGGCCAGCGTTTCTTGACTGGCGTGTCGGAAAGCTGGCCCAGTTTCTTGAGCACGTCCGTCCCACATCACCAGCGCGAGAAGTTGGCCCAGGTCTGTCTGAAGAACTTTCTGGGAAGCGGGCCCCGGTTTCTTAAACGATACGTTTTGGGATAACTTTTTCGGCTGTATCGACGTTACGTGGGGCGGGCTGCATCGACAATATATCGAAGATCGACGAGGCAGGGGCGTTGTAGCGGGCATTCGAGGTGGACGTATCCCCCCTATGCCTATCCACCCCCTGTATCGTTGCCCCTCCAAGGTGGCCGCGGAGGGTGCAGACTTCTCGAGGGCTTGGCTCCCGGGTGCGACCGAAGTTCGACTAGGTGATCGACTACATCATCGATCTACCCTAATATTGACATGTTCGTTGGATCTACGACAAGCACGCAGGATGTTCCGTATATCTGCGAACATGAAACCTTTTTTATTTTCGTAGATTCGACGAGCATGTCAGTCTTGGGGTAAAGTAATTCTGTAGTCGATCTCCTACTCGAGGAATGGGTCCGGACAGAATGGGCACGAAGGTTGACAGCAGTGCTTGCCCATGTCGACCCCAGACGTGCTCGCGTCTGGACAAGAACTGCCGCGGGGGGGCTGTGGCCGTTGGCGGCGTCCTGGGTCCCTCGCCGGGCCCCAGGGCTGTCAAAACACGGATCGGGATGAAACAACCCTGAGGAAAGGGTCGGGACTTCCGGGGACCCCGCATCGAAAACATCAGGACATCTCGGAGGCCTAGAGGTTGACACCAACACCAAGATCGGCGGTGTGCCTTCACCGAGGGAAGATGCTCCCGATCTCGGCGATGGTGGTAACATTCGGGCTCTCTAAGTGGCCGAACTATTACCACCAACACCAAAATCTTGGATCATCTTACCCCTGTGAAGGCAACCTCGCATGTCTGGGACGGAAAAGGAAGGGGACGAAGGCCGACAGCGCCTCCTGCCCCCTGTTGAATCAGGACTCGCGGTCGGTGTCGCCGCAGACGTGGCCCAGCTGAGGCAAAGAGTCGCCTGCCCAACGGCGGCCACGGTCGGCTTTAGACAGCTTCTGCTGTTGGGCATCGTGCCTGTTCTTTCTGGACCTGCTTCGGGCGTACAAAGGCTCGAGGGCGCGGACATGGCCAAGGCAGACCTCTCCGGCGCCAACCTGGACGGGGTGCTCGGCGCGGGCGCTCGCCTGCCCAAGGCTCGCCTCGTGGGCGCCAGGATCACCCGCGCGTCCCTGAACAAGGCGTCAAGGAAGGAATGGCCACCCCGCCCCCCACAGTGTGCGTTCACGAATCGGCCCTCGGCGTGTGCGAAACAGCCCTGCCCTGTTGGATCCCATCTTTCGGTGCATTCGCTAAACTGCTTCGCTTGTCGGGGTGCCTATTGCGTATGAGGGTGGCCCTTCTGCCCTCTCCAGGCAGATCTGACCAAAGCAGACCTGACCCAGGCCGACCTCGGAGGCGCCCTGCTGGAGGACGCCTGCCTCCACGAGGCCCTGCTGCCCAAGGTCGGCATCACCCAAACATACTTACTTGCGCTATGCGTGCGTCGGCCCCCCCGGGGGCGAGGCGCGCACTCAAGCATCTTCAGTAGTTATTCAATGCCCTGTGGTGGTGTGCGCTTCCTGGCCGCACCGCCTGGGTAAAACGCTGCACTATTCAGATGCTTGTGCCATGTGTTCGATTCTGACGTGCTTCTCCAAGGGGAATGCATGCTGTTAACCAGTATCATAAGGACGCACGGCAAGGATGCAATGGCCTTGGGAGGCCATGTCGACACTTTGAGCGGGGTGCGGCCAGCGAGCGCGGCCAAGGATGGACCGAGGAGGCAAGGATGCAAGGGTACCCTCGGGAAGGTTGCCCATCCTTACTATGCGGGTTGACTGTAGTACTAGTATGTTCTTCTGCGTCCCATCAGGCGTCCCTGCATCAGGCGCGGTGTGCACGAGCGAGCTTCTGCCTTGCAACGCTGGACGGGGCCGACCTGCGAGGCCTCTTCCGGGGCGTGGACCTCTCCCACGCCAGCCTGCGGGCGGCGAACCTCCGGGACGCCGACATGCAGGGCTCCCAGCTCACGGGCTCGGACCTGCGGGGTGCAGAGCTCGAGGGGGCCCGCTTCACATCCTGCAAGATGCTGAAGGTCCAGCTCCAGGCGTGCAAGGCGGCGGGGGCCAGCTTTGAGAAGGCCGACCTGCGCTCGGCCCAAGGCCAGGGGGTCGACTTCCGCGGCGCCTGCTTCCGAGACGCCAGCCTGGCGGAGGCGGACTTCACCGAGGCCGATCTCTCCGGGGCGGACTTCAAGGGCGCGAGCGCCACCGGCATGGTGTGCTGCAGGGCGAAGCTGAGCGGCGCGCTGCTGTGCAAGTGCAACCTGACCCACGCCTCCTTCGTAGATGCTGACCTGCGGGGCGCCGATTTCCACTTGGCGACGCTCCGGCAGGCGAAGCTCGACTGGGCCGTGGCGCCGGAGGCGAGCTTCGAGGGCGCCACGCTGCAGGACGCCTCGGCGCGCGGTGCCGACCTCCGCGGCTCGCTCTTTCACGGCTGCAACGTCGGGAACCTGGACCTGGCGGCCTGCCGGGTCGTGGAGCAGGAGTCGAAGAAGAAGAAGAAAAAGAAGAAGAATAAGAAGAAGAAGAAGAAGAAGAAGAAGAAGAAGAAGAAATTCCATTAAACGTACACTTTTGGCGCTCCGCGCGGATCTCGTGGATCCGCGCTGCCCCCCCCCCCTGGCGGCGCCTCCGGCGCCGCCCCTGGCGCGCTCCGCGTGCCTGGGAGGGGGGTCCAGCGAGGATCCAAGAATTTAGCATCGATGAGCGTCGATTAGCGTCTGGGAGTCGATGAGATAGCGTCGATCAGCGTCGATCTAGCGTCGATTCAGCGTCGATTAGCGTCGATTTAGCGTCGATTTGCGTCGATTCGCAGGAGCCGACAAGATGGCATGGGAGGCTCCCATGAGTTCCGAAGGAGATCGCCGCGGCCGTCGGGCTTGAGCAGGCGAAGCGGAGGCACCGCATCGCCGACTGCCACTTCTGCGGGCACTGCGGCAGGCACCGCGAGGTGTGGGGCACCAGGGCCTCTGCCGAGGCACACCACCAGCAGGTTCGGGGAAACGCAAGGCTCGAGTAAGCCAGAACTCGGGTTTGCCGACGTTCTTTGACAGCGCGTCCTGGGTTTTGACGGTCCAGTCTCCATGGGATGTTTGCAGCGGGAGCTTGCGTCGAATTTCAGATCGGGCCTCCGTTATTTTGTGATGGCCCTGTCAGGCCGACCCGAGTCCCCCGTACCCGAGTCTTCCGTCTCCCCGACAGGTGCACCCAGAGCTCCCCATGAGCGTGCTTCCGATTTCGATCGAGGACGGTTGCGGCCGAATCGCGGTCGCCAAGGAGATAGGGCAAGCGGCTTGGCGGCGCGGGCGGAAATGAGCGGCCTGCGCTCTGCCCACGCCACGGGTAGTTAGCTTCAGGACGGCTGGCTAAGCCAGGGCCGTGTCCAGAAGAAAGCGCCATCTAGCGTTTTCCGTCCTCGAAGGCTTCCTCGTCATGCGCTTCGGCGGCAAGCCCGGGGGGAAGTGAGAAGGAGAAGGCGCTATGAGAAGGCTCGGAAGTCCCCCGGCCACTAAGAAGTTGTCTAAACCTTCCAGGAAGACGCAAACAACTTCTCAGAAGGCGCGAGGGCTTCTGAGAAGCCCCGCCGCCTTCTGAGAAGGCCCTCTCCTTCTCACTTCCCCCCCCCTCGCTCGCCGCCGATTGCTTGCTTCTCCTTCTACTTCTCCTCCTTGCCATCCGTCCCCTCTTTCCGTTTGGTCCTCGCGCTGGTCCGGAGTCGAGTCAAGTCACCCCTTCCTCGCACGAGGGCGAGCCCAGGAAAGGGCGCGAGGGACCGAGCAGGTGCCAGTGCCTCGCTCGAACGAGCAGGAGGAAGGATAGGGTGAGGAAGGGAGGAACGAGGACAGAGGAGGGATTCGGTAGCAAATCATGGGAGCCTGGTATACTTTCGCGTAGACTCGCGTCGATTAGCGTCCGGGAGTCGATGAGATAGCGCCGCTTAAGCGTTGGTTAGCTTCGATAAGCGTCGATTTAGCGTCGACTTAGCGTCGACTAGCGTCGACTCGCAAGAGCCGACAAAATGGTATTGAAGGCTCCAAGGAGTTGCCACCGAACAGGGAGAAAACCACACAGCATCGCAGTTCTTGTCAGCAGCTCCAGAAGGCCTTGGGAACAACACCCGAAGCACCCACGGGAGCCGGGGCGGGGGCCAGGGCCAGGGGACGGGACAGGAGGGCAGGGCAGCTCTCCAGTCCGTGCGGCCTTTTTTTCGCCTCTGGTCGTTTCTGCCAACTCTTAAGTCGGGCGTGTCCCCCTACAGGGGCATTTTCGACGAAAAATATAGAATACCCCCAAAATAATCAGAACATAGTCCCAAGAGAGCTCAACGGGGGGGGCGTTGATCAAGGAATGTGTCCAGGAGGCTTCAGACCCTGGAGGATTCCTTCTCCGAGGAGGACGGCGGCGGTATCCATGGCCAAGGCACGACGGGCGTTCCACCGGCTCCCAGACCCTGGAGCTCCCTATCCCATGGTTCCTTCTCCGGTGCCCTCGCCGCAGGGGCCCTCGCCGTGCACCGGGACCGTCAGAAAAAACGATTCTTGGGCGCAGCGTAATGGATTGCAAAAAAAACCGAAGGATTGCAAAAAAACCCTTAATCCTTAATCCTTGAACGAAGGATTGCAAAAAAACCCTTGGGTCATGAATGGGGGTGTGGCGAGGGTGGCCCGAAAATGTACCCAAGCGGTGCCCAAACGAGCCCCCTGGGGCTCTGGAGGGGCCCGAAAGGGGCACGAAAGGGGACCTTTTCTGACCCCCCCATGTGTGACCCCCCCCCCATTAAGCCACGCCCAAGGTTCAAGGGGAAGGGGTCCAGGCCTCCGGGGGCGGACGCCGCGAAGAAGTCACGCCGTCGGAGGTCTGGGCTCGCGCTCCCTGGGCCCCGTCTCGCCCCGCCGCTTTTTCGGCACCGCCTCTGCGCCACGCACGTTCTGCTAGGGGGCCACACGCGAACCCTGCCCCTACCCCCCCCCACGATTCCTGAGGGGGAGGGGGGGGGTTCACTTCGCTCGGGAGCTCCCAGACGAAGTGACCCCCCCCCTCCCCCTCAGAAATCGTGGGGGGTGGGGGTAGGGTTCGCGTCAAGCTAGCCAGCTCGAGCGAGTCAAGCATGGCACGCCCATTCCCACCCGCCCTCCCACAACATAAGAAACAGTGATGGCACAAGTGGCGGCTGCGCGGGCATTTCAGTGCGAGCGGAGGATACCCCAGGACACCGCATTGACGTCCGCGCGCGGTGTGCGCCGCGTCCCATTCCCGCCACGCATTTCGCATCGTCGACGACAAGACTGGCCATGTTGAAAGGAACAACGAACACGTTCCGCCCTCGCACAACATAAGAAAAAATGCTGGCGCAACTGTAGGTGCTGGCGCGTAGTAGTAGTAGTAGTAGTAGTAGTAGTAGTAGTAGTAGTAGTAGTAGTAGTAGTAGTAGTAGTAGTAGTAGTAGTAGTAGTAGTAGTAGTAGTAGTAGTAGTAGTAGTAGTAGTAGTAGTAGTAGTAGTAGTAGTAGTAGTAGTAGTAGTAGTAGTCGTAGTCGTAGTAGTAGTAGTAGTAGTAGTAGTAGTAGTAGTAGTAGTAGTAGTAGTAGTAGTAGTAGTAGTAGTAGTAGTAGTAGTAGTAGTAGTAGTAGTATAGTAGTAGTAGTAGTAGTAGTAGTAGTAGTAGTAGTAGTAGTAGTAGTAGTAGTAGTAGCCCTGAGTCGCCGAAAGATCGTTCCAAGACGCCCAAGATGGCCTCCAGACGGCCGTAGAACCGCTGGGGGCCTCAGGAGGCCCTCCAAGAGCCTGAACAAGCAAAAACCTCCCAGGCGTTCGTCACCCCAGGGCCTCCTGGAACGCCCCGGCGCCCAATGAACTGGCGAGCTAAAAACGTGCGCCGAGCCAAAGCGGGAGCGCAACTTTGAGAAATTTCACTCGGCGCCCATGCGAGATGGTCATGCCATTCACTTCGAGCGTGTGTGTGTGTGTGTGTGTGTGTGTGTGTGTGTGTGTGTGTGCGGCGCCCAATTCTTGCCATGCAATTTTGCGGGGTGGGCGACAAGAACAGCTAGCTATGTGGGCAGGGAAAATCAGCATGGCATTGTTTCTGACAAGTAAGGTGGCCCCTCCCGCTTTGGGGTTGCCCCAGAAGTCCGCGCGCGATGTGCGCCGCGCCCCACTCCTGCCACGCATTTCGCATCGTCGACGACAAGACAGGCCATGATGAAAGGAAAAACGGCAACTCTGTATTGTTTTTCACAGTCAGGATGGGAGGGCCCGCAGCCCGCATGGACGTCCGCGCGCGATGCGCGCCGCGTACCATTCCTGCCACATATTTCGCACCGTCGGCGACAAGGCAGGCCATGCTGAGAGGAATAAGCGGAAACTTTGTATCGATTTTATACAGTCAGGATGGGCGGGCCCAGAGTGACGGCCGCGCGCGATGTGCGCCGCGTCCCATATGTGCGCCGCGTCCCACTGCTGCCACATATTTCGCACCGTCGGCGACAAGGCAGGCCATGCTGAGAGGAAAAAACGAAGACTTTGTATTGATTTTTTACAGTCCGGATGGGCGGGCCCAGATTGACTGCCGCGCGCGATGTGCGCCGCGTCCCATTCCTGCCACGCTTTGGGCATCGTCGACGAGAAGAAAGACGATGTTGAGAAGAAAAACGGCCACTTTGTATTGATTTTTTATTGGTGCGGATGGGAGGTCCCGGATTGGGTCGCTATCGGCCGGAATGCGAGGTAGGTGGGGGTACATAATAACAAGGGACAAGGATGTGGCCCCCTAGTTCTGCACACGCAGCGCCAGCTGTTCTCCCCGTGAGCTTTGCTCGGTCGATCACGCCCACTCCTCGCGCCCCCCCCCGGCAAAGGGCAGTTGCGCAGCCGCCTCCAGTGCCGGTCCTGGGCGGCGCTCCCTGCGCGGGGGTCGCCCGGGAGCCTGCCGCCGCCGCGCTGTGCTCGTGGAGGTCTTCGCGCGGGGTCTGCCTTTCGTTCGCTCGGAGCGAGCGGCCCGTCTCGGCCCCGTACCCATCGGCACTCGAAAGCAGGTCGGTATTTTTGGACTCCCAGCCGCCTTCCTGCTCTAAGAGTCGCGTGGTTTTCCCTGTTCCCTCCCCTCCAGGAGGCGGGCGGAAACCGCACCTGCTCCCAACGCCCTCCGACCCCATGCTTCTACCTGCTCCTTCCGACCGACGAGTGCCTCCTGCGCCCAGGCCTCGGCTCCGCGCCCCAGCCTGCTGCCTTGGCCGCGCTGGTGCGATCGCCGGCGCCACGACGGCAGAATACAATATTGGGGCCCCGGCTCCGGATGAAGTCGACTGCACGCAACCCAGACCTCCCCGCGGTGTTTAAGAGATCGCGACGGGAGGTGTTTCGATATTTTCGGCCTCGGGGGGGCCTTTCCGGGCTTCGGGATTGTCAAAAAACGAATCGAGATGAGAAACCGGTCCCGGGGAAGGGGTCCAGACCCCTGGGAGTCGACGTTATCAAAAAATCACGACGTCGGGGGCTGGCTTCGGGCCTCGGGTGCGACAGAGTCTGGCTCAGGACGAAGTCGACTACACGTCAGAGTGGCCCTTCGCCGGAGTGACCTTGTGGTGCGGGCTCATCGGGGTCCCCCCGATCGCTGAGCGCGATGCGTCAGCGAGCGGCTGCTTGCGCCCTGGGATTTGGCCATCTTGCGCCCCCTCAGTCCGCGCACCAGAGGTCACCCTCTCTTGCCTGGGGCCACTCCTGCGTGTAGCCGATGGAGGTCCCGCCCCAGGGCAGGCGTCCATCAGGAGGAAAAGAAACACACAGACACAATTAATCCTCGATTTCCTAGAAAATATGGGAAAATATGGGAAGTGGGCGGGAAGACAGAAACCCAGAAAATATGGGAAAATATGGGGAATATTTTTATTTGTGTGTATTTACTTGTGTGTCCTGGGGCCCCTTCAGTCCAGGGGCCCAGGGGCCAGGGCAGGCGTCGAGAGGCCCAGGGGCTCGTGTTTCGCAGCGCCGGGCGGCGTGCTGCGCGGGGAGGCGGGGGGCGAAAAGAAGCGGGAGCAGGGAGCAGGCACGAGCAGCAGGATCGGAGAGGAGGGGCCGCTCGCCGGCTGCTCCCCCCCTCCCTCCCCCTCGCCCCTCGCCCCGCTCGTCGTGCCCCGGGGGTCTGGCGCGCAAGTGCGGGCGCGACGTGCGGCACGCGGGGCCGAGGAGGAGGAGGAGGAGGAGGAGGAGGAGGAGGAGGAGGAGGAGGAGGGGGAGGAGGAGGAGGAGGAGGAGGGGCAGGAGGAGGAGGAGGAGGAGGAAGAAGGAGGAGGAGGAGGAGGAGGAGGAGGAGGAGGAGGAAGATGGCGCAGGCGCGGCTCCGAGCCGTGGCGCCTTGGTATCGCGGCGCGTCGCGGTCGCTGCGACGGTGCGGCGCGGCGTGTCTTCCGCGGCCCCGCGCAGCGCGGGAGCGGCCCTGCCTGCTTCCAGGGCCCCTCTCGCTTGTGTCAGCCTCCCTCCCTAT